GGGGAGGACAGCCACGCCTAAGGCTCTGCCGTGAGGAGTACGGTTATACAAGCAGCCTGGACTCCAACTCTTCTGATAAGAGACCTGCTCTCCCCAGAGAGAAACTCATAGGTGCAGGTTAGAGAGGGTATTGGGTGGTCCTGTGACCTTGGACGGCAGAGACTGGAAGGGGTTATGGGGGGAGGGGTGTTCGTGGTGGGTGCCGTTAGGAAGTGCACAGCTGGGACGGAGAGGCCTATTGCAATCAGGAAGGAGGTATTGGTTCCTAACATGAGATGGAGGAGCCCTTATCTTGATCAGGGGAAGGAATTTATAGATGGGTGTTGGGGGTTTTGTTGGATGTTGAGGGATTCCTGTTGAGATCATGAGATAGCACAGTTGGGTTGCAGGTTCCTGGCTGCCATTAGGAGTAAGGGGCACCCTAAAGGAGGAGAGTCCAAGTCTTGATCTTCAGGGCCTGGGCACTACTCCGAGGTCGGTCGTGATTGTGGTCTTTTGCCATGGATAGTTGGGGGCAGTGGTAATGTGGGCGTCTAGGTCGTGATTACGAGGGGGCTGTTGTAGTCCATGAGATGAGTAGTTCCAAAAGGTCGTGACGTGAGGCAACAACGACCCGGCGGTTTAAGTCACGGACTGGCAGCAACCCTGTCCCAAGTCCAACCCAAACGCGGGACTACTCTCGCTCTGCGCAGGCGCAGCACTGGCCGGCTCAGCGGCTACGGTTGGGGGCGGGCCCTGAGGGGTGGGGCTTAGAAGCCTCGCTCTGCGCTTGCGCCTAAGGGGCGTGGCGGTCGCACCTGCGCGAGTTGGAGGAAGGAGGAGGGGCGAGGTGACGCAGGCGTAATAATAGAGAAGGTGCCAGAAAGATCCAAAACAAGTGGCTGCCGCCGTCGCCCAGGAGTCATCTGACGCGAGATTCAGGTGAGGATCCAGAGGGGCCTAAGGGCGACTGGTGGAGGGTAGACGGAACCACCTGGGTGCTGGGGAGAGGGCGGTACCATTCACACTGGGCGAGGGGGTCGGATTTGGACAGCACCACCTGTGCTCCTTTGGTCGGTCCCACTTGTAGGGGCCTGAGCGTCATTTTCGGACGGCACCACTGGTGGGGAGCCGTGGGGCCGATCGGAGAGCATCGCTGGACGGAGCCCAGGGGCACGTCCGGCGGTACTACCCAGAGTCAAAGGGCCAGTCGGCTGGGTGCCCTGGGGTGGGCCCTCAGGCTCGTTCGGACCGAATCGCGTGGTTGGTTCCGGAGGCTGGTTCGGAACATACCACCTCGGGAGGGGCGCCCGGGCTCTGCAGGCCCGACCGGTCGGAGGTCGAGTGAGGTCTGGTGTCTCGACCTCTTATTAGGGGACCTCGGACGATACCATTCCCTTCCGGGGGAGGGGGGAGGCTGAGACGGCTAGGGTGTGAGGGTAGAGCTGCCTCGCGGGTCGCGACGCACTGGCGGGGGTGGCGTTTGGGTCCCCACGTCGCTGACCACTGCCCCCTCCCCGCTGAGTGGGTTCTAGGCCCTGGTTCGAGCTTGTTCCGACCCCCTCCCCCGGGTATGGCGCTGTCTGGGTCGACCCCTGCCCCGAGCTGGGAGGAGGACGAGTGCCTGGACTACTACGGGATGCTGTCGCTTCATCGTATGTTCGAGGTGGTGGGCGGGCAGCTGACCGAATGCGAACTGGATCTGCTGGCTTTCCTGCTGGACGAGGCCCCCGGCGCCGCCGGCGGCTTGTCTCACACCCGTAGCGGCCTGGAGCTGCTTCTGGAGCTGGAGCGCCGCGGGCAGTGCGACGAGAGCAACCTGCGCCTCCTGGGGCAACTCCTGCGAGTGCTGGCCCGGCAGGACTTGCTGCCGCACCTGGCGCGCCGGCGGCGCCGGCCAGGTATGGTTGACTTCCGGTGGGGAGAGGGCCTTGCTCTGCGTCTGGGCCCCCGAGGTGCCTTGATATGGACAGTATCAGACAGCCTTTGTCCCATCCCAGTACCCCCTCCTCCCAGAGTATCAGTGAGAAACTAGAGGGAGAAGCGAGCTTAGGGAGGAGCGAGCTTGTGGAATTTGGCCACATCAGTAATGTTTGTGACCACTGTTTATGGAGGGCTTGTTTCATGCCAGACACAGAGTAAGCCCTTTATATGAACTATCCCTTTATATCCTTCTGGTAATCCCATGAGGAAGTACTGTTACTGTCTCACTGTACAGGGCAGCAATTGGTTCAGAGAAGTTAAGCAGCTTGCTCACATGTTAAAACTGTGTGCTGGGCACAGGAGGTACAAGGTGACCAGACTGACAAAGTGCTACCTACATGAGGCTTATATTTATTGGGGGAATCTGGTATTAAAACAGATAAACAACTTTACATATGATTATAGAAAGACTAAAACAAAATAATGGTACATAGAGAGTAGGGAGTTCTAAGTGAAGGGAGGCCCCCTTAGATTGGATAACCAGCCAAGACCTTTCTGAGAAGGCTGCACTGCTGCCACTGAATAGAAAATTCCAGGGAGAGGGAAAGGCAAGCTTTGAACCCCTGAGACAGGAATGAGTTTGGCATCATCAGAGGCAAGTGTGGCAGGAGCAGAGGGGACTAAAGAAAGGGCAGAGATGTAGGTGAGAAGCCACATTACAGGGGCTTGCAGATAACACAGCTAGAAAGTGAGAGCTAGGATTCACACTCAGCTGGTTTGTGTCCAGAGTGGATGTCCTTAATCCTTGTGAGGGAAGGACAGCAGTCTTGAGAAGGCCAGGAGCTGGGAGGGCTTAAGGCACAGGCTGTTGTGTATAGGCCAAGGCTGTTGAGGCCTTAGCGGGATTACTTGGCGAGATGCAGGGGCTAGTTTGGGGAGGGGGATTGTGAGGCTCCCCTGCCCAGAATAAGCCCATGGGATTTGGACAGTGCTAGGGAAGAACTGACAGCGCTTTTGGAAAAATGTGTCTGAAGGTCAAGGCTCTGGAAGGAAGATTTGGGGAGCCTGAAAAGAGGCCTGCTTGCTTCTTCGGGCCTCAAGGAGAGTTGGGGGCGGGGCAGTTCATGGTGGGCAACATTGCAGGGTTCCTTACCATGACTCAGTTTACAGAATAACTCTGAGTCCTCCTCTATGTCAGGAGGCATCAAGCAACTACTGGGCAGGAGGTGTTGGAGAGGGAATGGGTGTCTGGACTCTGACCTCTGGGGAACTCAGGTATTCATCTCAGGGGGTGGAATTGGAGGCTGGGCCTGGGAGGGGCCAGAAGCTGTGCATTACTTCTTTCCATTTTTCTCTATCCCTAGTGTCACCAGAACGCTACAACTATGGCACCTCCAGCTCTTCTACAAAGAGGACAGAGGGCAGCTGCCGTCGGCGTCGGCAGTCAAGCAGTTCTTCAGATGCTCAGCAGGGCCAGTGGGAGACAGGTGAGCCCAGCCGGGTGGTTATAAAGGCAGTTTCTCTCTTTTCCTTCTGAACCCTGATAAGCCTCCTTCATTCTGCCCCATCAAGGAAGGGGCCCAAGGGGTCATTCTGCCTCTTTTTTTAAAAATTGATTTTAGAGAGAGGAAGGGAGAGGGAGAGAGGAAACATCAATGATGAGAGAGAAGCATCAGTTGGCTGCCTCCTGCATGCCCCCTACTGGGAATCGAGCCTGCAACCCAGGCATGCGCCCTGACTGGGAATTGAACCATGACCTCCAGGTTCATGGGTCGACGCTCAACCACTGAGCCACACCAACTGGGCATTCTGTCTCATTTTTGCTTTGTGTGTTTGTTATTCCTACAAAAGCATGTGTCCAGAAGCAATCTGTGGAGTTGTTCTTGTGGTTTTAGATTTCATCTAAATGGCATCACTTCATGGGTTCATTCTTCACATGGGTGTCTGTGCTGAACATGTTTCTGAGGTTTATTATCTTCCTAGATTCAGTAATTTTAGATTCATTTTGCTGTTTTTGCTTTACATGAATTTCTACATTGTTCTGTTTTTGTTGTTGTTGACCTCTTTGAAAGTAAATTCCAGGCATCAGGACACTTTACCCCTAATCAGCAAGCCTCCCCTGAAAATGAGATTTTCCCCTACCACTTCAGAACCATTATCATACCTTAAGAATGTAAACACTAATTCTCTGATATCCTAATGGTCCATTTTCATGTCCCTTGTAAGATTGTCTCCATTTTCAGGATCCACTCATAGTTGAGTTGTTATGAATTCAGTTCCTACGTCTCCTTAACCTCTTACTAAAGTGAAACTCCTCCCCCACCCATACCTTTTTCTTTTTATCCCATGACATGGACTTCCTGACCCTTACTAGGCCAGTTGTTTTATAGAATGTCCCCATTATTTCTGGAAGTGTCTAATAATTTCCTAATGATGTTTAACTCGTCCCTTTGCCCTCTATATTTCCTGTGAAGTGGGAAGTGGGTCTGGAGGCTTGATTTGGTTTAGGTCCCACGTTTTTGGCAGGGATGCTCCTGGGTTGATGCGGTTGGTGTGCTTTGCATTGGAGCACATCAGGAGGCAGAAGGTCTGGTTTTCCTGTCGTGAGTGGGCAAGCTTGATCACTTGGTTAAGGGGTGTCTGCCAAATTTGTCCTTTGCCAAGTGACATTTTCGCCCCTTTATGGTTAGTAAACAATCTGTGGGATGACACTGGCACATCCTGTTCAGGCGCATCTCCAGTGGGCTTAGCATCCAATGGTGATTCCCACCTGACCCAGTTATTACATTGGTGATTGGAAAGTGGTGATTTTTCTAATTCTTTCATTTTTCTACATCTGTTAGCTGGCATTTTTTCAAGAGGAGTTTTTCTTTCCAACTCTGTACCCCCCCTTTTTTTTTGGTGGAGAGTGTCAATGTGGACTCATGCATTCTTATTTATTTACTGTGTTATGATCAATTAGTCACTCTTTCTGATGTTCAAATAGGCTAGCTCCTGTGTCTTTTTGATGAGTCTCCATCATGCACTGGGCACTTCCTGCTGTGTGGCACTGTAAGATGTGGCACTCACCTGTGCTTTTCCTTCCCTAGCCCTGGAATCAGTTGCTTTCAGAAGCCTGGTTTCCTTTAGAAGCAGTGGTATTTAGAGACCAAGATCTGGGTGCTGGGTCTGTTAGAAACTGTTCTTTTAAAAAGTTCATATTAGTATTTTTAATTCGAAATGAACACATAAGGATTTTTTTTCTTATACTGAAAATCTTAGTTCTTAGTAACATTGAGAGATGGATTTATTTGTTTAATTTTACAACAGTAAAAAAATAGCTTCAAAATTACGATGTCAATACGACTGCTGACGCTATGAAGGAAGCCACATATTTGTAGTTATGGTCCTTGGGAGTATATCCCATTGAGAGTTTGCCTTCAGAATGTTTTTATAAGTAACTTGAAATAATTATTTTGTCCACCTGTTTATGTTACCAATTATATACATAGTTAGGTTTGTTTGTTCCTGTCTGTGTTCAATTTTGTTTCTTTTATCTTTTAAAATTTTTTTGACTATGTCAGAACTTAAGTGTGTAAAAAAGGTGTTCTTAGAAGTATCCCTTCCACTGTTGTCCCCCCTCCAGTAAATAATCAGTTTCACTCATTTCTAATGTATCCTTACAGTGTTCCCCTTGCAAGAATGGCAAATAGGGATATACTTGTGTCCTCTCCTTTCTTATGTGGAGTGTAGCAAGCTGTACACGCCTCTTTTGCACCTTGGTTTACTTCACTAACCAGTCTATCCTGGAATGGCTCTGTATCCTCTTTGCCACATGCACATTTACATTGTTTCCAAGTGTGTGCTCTTATAAGCTATGAATAACGCCTGTGGCCTCTGCCGTACTGGTTCCTGGTGTGAGTGCAGGAGTTTCTGTATGGTCACACCTGGGAGTGGGGTTGCCGGGTGCATGTGTGCTTGTCTGCCCTTCTGGGTGATGCTAGGTTGTCCTTAATCCCCATCTTAAGGACAAGGCTCTGAGGCACAGGGCCTCACCGCAGAGACCAGCTGTGAACCCTTCCCCAGGCACCTGCCTTGGTGCTCTACCTGTCATCTTGTCCTCAACCACCCCATTTTTCTCAGGCTCCCCCCCAACCAAGCGGCAGCGGCGGAGTCGGGGCCGGCCCAGTGGTGGTGCCAGACGGCGGCGGAGAGGGGGCCCAGCTGCCCCCCAGCAGCAGCAAGAGCAGGCCAAGCCCACCTCGGAAGGCAAAGTGACCTGTGGTAGGTGTCTGTGGGCCTTGGGGAATGCATGTACCATGTCCGTGGCAGGCTGCTGAGCCAGAGGACAGGAGGAATTGGTACTTGTCTGGGGTTTGGCACAACTAGTGACACCTGGCAGGAGGGCAGCAGTTCTTGTCCCTCTGTTTAGCACAGTGGGGTCCTTGTTCCTCTGTTCATCTTGTTTATCTGTAGTTGAAGGGTCACATCCTGTACTACCTCCCCTAGGAAGCCTCCCTGACACTCTGCTGCCCAGTTTCATTTGTTTGTGTAGCACACATCTGCAAGGGTGTATTTATTCAGCAGGGGTGAAGTAATGCAGGGGTGGAAACAGGGCCCTGTGACAAATTGCCCGATTTACCTGTTGGCCTTAGCAATTAAATAGGCTGTTTGATCTTGGGAGGTGACTGAACCCCTCTGTGCCTCAGTTTGCACGTCTGTAAACGGAGGCTGATGATGGTACCTTCCAGCTTGGATTGTTGAGAGAGAAAATGAGTTAACACACATAATACACTTGGAGCAGCATCTGGCCTGGGCCCTTGCTGTGTACCAGTTTTCTCTTCTCCCTGTCACTGCACCATGTGCTTGAGGCGGGAACAGCAGTGAGGACCCTGCCCTAGTGGAAGTGACCTTCTTTCTAGTAGAGTGACAGACCAGTGAAACTGAAGCTCACTTTAGATAATAAGCTCCTCCAAGAGAGGCTGGGGATTGGATGGAGTAGCCTGCAGGCCTCCGAGCGGGTGGGAATTGGGCTTTTATTCTATGCAGCAGGTGCTATCAAGGGATTTGAGGGGGGGTGAGGTAATCTGGTACCTGGTTTTAAAGGGTCTTGACTGTATCTGGAAAAACAGTAAATGTGTTATGACTTGTAAAGTACTTAGATCAACTCTGGGCACATGGTATGTGCCCTGTCAGGTGTCTGTTAAGTAAAAGCGGGAGCAGGGAAATGAGTGACAAGGCTGCCCAGTCCAGCAAGAAGGAGAGGTCTGGCCTATGTTGGTCACATTGGAGAAGGCCAGAAGGGGATGGACTAAGGAAATAAATGTAGAGCTGACTGGATCTGCAGACAGGTTAGGTTGGGTGTGTTGGGAGGACTCTGCTGTGGAAAGTCCTCCTCAGACATTGCCTTCGAGAAAGTCCACCTATCTGAGGGAAGGACCCAGGCCTGTGTGGGCACACTCTCTTACACACTCCCCCTCTCTGCTCATATCTCTGGTACACACTCTGAGTTGGGCAAGCCTGTGGACGTGGGATCAGGTGGTGAGATGCTCTGGTGGAATTACAGGCGGGAAGGTCCGAGGTTAAAGCAGCTCTGCATTCCCCAGAAGACCTTGGTCCAGGGTGCTTCCTCTCGCCATCTGCAGAGCCTCCTTCAGCCCACAGAGCAGCCATGCTTGCCACCTCCCAGTGCCCAGCCTCGCCCCTCAGGCTATGGTGACACATCCACCCCATAGATGAGACTGCAGATACCTGTGCAGGGCAGGTCAGGAGGAACAGACCAATAGAGCTAGACTGTGTCCTCAGACAGCCACGAACTTGAGCAATGGCTGCCTGGTCGTGACTCTTCCCCCGGTCAGGGGTAATTACCAGAGCCACCAGGCTGGCTGGGCTGCCTAGGGAGTCATTGCCGGCCTAGGGAGCAGGCCAAGCAGAGCCTGGGGAGGGGTTTTGCCAGTAGAGGCTTCAGGTCTCTTCCTTGAGGGCAGGGAGGTAGTTCATGGGGTGCGGCTGGCACTTGATAGGGAGGATGGGTAAGCAGGTCTGACTGCTGACTCATCAGGCGGGGTGGGGCTGGAGCCAGGCGCTCCCCAGTAGGGCTTAGTTTTTCCCTCTGAAAGCGGAGATGGTTTACCTTTAATGAGGCCCAGTCCCAGGGGTGAAAGGAGGCCCCACCAGACCTGAATGAGGAAGGATCCTGCTGTTCTTGCGCCCTTCTCACCTGTGACAGCTGTGGGGGGTGGCCCCCAGTTAGCTGCTGTCCACTGAGGGGTAGAACCAGACTGAACTCCCGAGGGTCGTAGAGTGTAAGAAAGGGGGAACAGAGGGTTGGGTGGGAGTCCTGGGCTTGGACCCAGGACTTCTGTGTTTCCATGTCCCTCTCAGGGCCATCACTGGGCACTTTGCTGGGCGTGCTATCTGCCTGACCTTGAATTTTCAAGACAGTGTTGAGGTATAGGAATCATGGTCCCCATTGTGCAGGGCTGGGGCTGGGCTGAAACTTGGGTTTTTTCATTGGGTAATTCCATATATTTATAGAGTGCTCACGCTAGGTGCAGCAGGGACTGGAGGCTCTTGCCTTCAAGGACCTTGAGTTCTGGTGGGAGGAGAAAGCCAAGAGAGATGTCAGATGTCAGCTGAGAAGAGAAAGCAGGGCAAGAGAGTGCTGAAAAAAGCGGCTCTAGACATAGTTTCTAGATAGGGTGGTCTAGGAAGACCTCTCAGAAGAGCACTTGGATGGCTGGGGTAGAATGTTCCAGATAGAAGAGATAGCAGGAGCTCAGGCCCAAGAGGAAGTGTACCAGTAGTGGTGAAGGGGGGTGGCGGGAAGGCTGACAAGGCTGGAACGGAGGGAGCAAGGCGAGGCTGCTAGGAGGCGAGGGCAGAGCCTGTGAGCCATGGGCCAGGGCTTCACATTTTTTTAAATTGATAGAAAGCAGATAGAGGATTTGAATGATGGGCTGAGCTTTGCTTTTCCCTCAATGCTTTCTGTGGAGAAGATAGAGAAGCAGCAGACTAACGTCATGAACCCCATCTCCTGTCACCCGGTTTTAGTAGTTGTCAACTTGTGGCTGATCTCATTTCATCAGCCATATTGTTTGGGCGTTAGTTCTAGGTGTCCTGTTATTTCATCTGTAGGTTTTTCACTGTATACCTCTCAAAGGTAAGAGGTCTTTTAAGAAATTAACAATAATGTCTTAATATCAAATATCTAATCAGCGCTTACATTTCCAGTTGTCTCATGAGTATTGGTTCTCCTGAGTCTCTCCTAATCTATGGTATTTCCTCACCACCTCTGTTTTCTCTCTTTCCCCCTTGCATTGTGTTTGTCTCATAGCCTTTCCCAAAGACTGGATTTTGCTAATGCTTCCTGTGGTAGGGTTGATTGAATATGTTCCCCTGTTGCCTATATCTCCTAAAAATTGGTAGTTAGGGCTCAAGAGGCTTGATCATATTCTGGTTTGGTGTTTTGTTTTTTCCAAGCTCACTTTTTTAAAAAAAATATATTTTTATTGATTTCAGAGAGAGGAAGGGAGAGGGAGAAAAAGATAGAAACATCAATGATGAGAGAGTCATTGATCGGCTGCCTCCTGCACTACCCTTCCTTGCTGGGGATCGAGTCTCCAACCCCATCATGTGCCCTGACCAGGAATCAGACCACGATCTCCTGGATCCTAGGTCAATGTTCAACCGCTGAGCCACACCCAGCCGAGCTGATGCTCACTTCTTAGGTGGTGATGTGTGTTCTTAACCTTCCTCTGACATTGGCAGCAGCTTCTCATTGTCTTGATCCATTAGTTCAAGATTGAAGAACATTTGACACCTAGACTCTGGCTGTGTCTTGGGGAAGAGACTGGAGAAAGGGAGGCGTCCTACTGTTGTCCAGAGGAGGGTGGTCCTGACCCTGTGTGGCAGTGGACGGCAGGGGTCTTTCCATTGGAGCACATTGGCTACCTCCCTCCACCATGCAACATGGGAGCGCAGGTCCTTTTTGCCCCCAGCCCTTCTACTAGGAACTCCCAGAGAGAAGATCCAAGTGTATCTCTGGCCCCGAGCCACACCTAGCACAGGGACTGGTATGCAAGGCTGCTCAGCTGCTCTCCTGGTCCTGGGCTTGGCCCTCATATCTCTCCTGGTCCCTCACTGAGAAGTCCCTCTCATTTTCCTCTGCCCCAAAAGAAAGACCAATGTTGCATGGGTTTGGGGGAGCAGAGGATTCTGGAGCCCACCCGAGTGCAGGAAACAGGAATAGTTCTCCTCTCTAGGAAGACATACCCTCACCCTCTGTCCTGGGAGCAGGGAGCATTTCCCTATAGCTGCCCAAGTGGAGAGGCACTGTTGACAAAGTCTTGGTGTTCATGGCCACAGGAAACAACTCAGCCAGCCCTCAGCCCAGGTCACAAGTGTGCTGGGTGCTCTTTTTGCCTTCCCCTCACTGTCACACCCGGGCCAGCCATCCACTCTCTCCATGTCTGCTCCTTCCGTCCTTGGGCCAGCCACCTTCGGCTTCCCCAGCTGCTGCCCTGGCCCTGTCTCTGATACCCTGCTGCACTTGGCCTCAGCTCTTTGCCTGCATCCTGCCATGTAACCCTCACAGTGGGTCCATGAGAGCAGGTGCTGGGGTGAGGGTGTCTCACACAGGAGGCCATTGAAGTGCAGAGAGGTGCGGTCACCTCGGGAGATCCCAGACTCCCTGCCATGGCCTGCCAGGACATGGTGGGTTCCTCACCTCCATTTGTCCCCTTGTGCCCTTCTCCACTGTGATCCAGCCACACTGGGTGTCAGGCTGTGAACGTCCCAGGTTTGTTTTCTGCCTGTGGATATTCATGTGTCGGCTTCTCTTCTGGAAATGCTACTCTTCTCTCCTGCTTTTGTGTCTCAACCTATTTGTCCACATTCACATTTCACTTCCGATATCATTTCCTGGAGAGGTCCTCTCTGATCATTTCAATCTAAATTACACCTTGTTCTCTATAATTTTCTCTCCCCACCCTCGGGATGTCTTTTAATTACAGATTTCTGTGTATGGTTGTAAGAGGCAGCAAACAGGATAGGGGTAGTTAAGAGCTCAGCCTCTGCAGCCAGGCACCTCAGTTGGAATTCCAGCCCTGCCACTTCCTGTGTTTGTGGCCATGGGCAGGTGACTCATCCCCTGTGCCACAGTTTTCCCATCTGCAGAAAGGGATAATAGCACTGCCTTACAAGGTTGCAGGGATCATCAAAAGGGTCAGTAGGTGTGAGGTGTGTGTCAGCATGTGAGAAGTCCCTCCCATTTTGCAGGAAGTATTATAGAGGTGTCTCCTATTGCTATCACATTATTTTGGTCAGGAGTCAAGGGGAGATTGCACATGTGCTGTGACCCAGGGCCCGTGGTGGAGTGGCAGTTCAGATAATGCACAGCTTCTGTGCGCTTCCTCTTGCATTCTGGACCAGGGTTGGACCATGGTCTGGTGAAGGATTCTCTCGTCTGTAAATGGGGAGAATGAAGGTCTGTGAGGACTCAGGGACCCAAGATAGGGAAAAGGCTTGGGTAGGGCCAGGCACATGGCAAGTGCTCCCTAAGTGGGGGTTCCATGTCTTCCAGTGCCACCTGTGCGTGGGGTGCTCGTGTCACTCCCACGTTGCTGGCACTCAGTAAATAGCTGTTGAATGGAAGAATGAATGAGACACACGACTCTACCCTGGTTCTGTCCTACTTCTAAACACCACCCCGCATGTTGTGGGGTGGCCTCTGGGTGAATAGACAGTATATGCCACAGGTCTAGTAGCAGTTCGTGTTGGGGAGAGGGGTGAACTGGGAGGGATTCACGTGGGCAGGACGTGGTGGGTGAGTGGGGCCATTTATTTTTTATTTTTATTTTTGAAATACATTGTTCATTTATTTTTAAAAATTGTGGTAAAATATGCGTAACATAAAATTTACCGTTTTAGCCATTTTTAAGTATACAATTTTGTGGCATTAAGTGCATTCACATTGTTGCACAGCTATCACCACCATCCAGCTTCCTAACTTTTTTGTCTCACCAACCGAAACACTGTCCCCATTAGACACTCCCCAGCTCCTTTTCCCCTTGGCCTCTCGCAACCTCTGTTCCACTTTCTGTCTCCATGAATTTGGCTATTCTAGGTACCTCATACAAGTGGAATCATACATATTTGTCCTTTTGTGACTGACTTATTTTACTTAGCTTAATGTTTTCAAAGTTCATCCATGTAGTAGCATAGCAGAATTTTCTTCCCTTTTAAAGCTGAATAATATTGATCATACCATATAATGTATATGTTATATATCATGTATGTATCACATTTTGTTTACCCACTCATCTGTTGGTGGATGCTTGGATTGTTTCTGTCTTTGCTCTTGTGAGTAATGGTGCTATGAACATGGGTGTACAAATATTTGTTCAAGTTCCTGATTTCACTTCCTTTGGGTACATACCCGCAAGTAGAATTGCTGGATCATATGGCAATTCTGTGTTTTGAGGAATTGTATTGTTCAGTGGGGCCATTCTGGTCAGTGGAGGCTGGCGGGTCACTTTTGTGAGCAAGTGAGGCTTGGCTGGGAGCACTTCCCTTGGGACTGGAGGACAGGGTATGGAAGGATACAGCCAGGGTTGAAGGATATGAGGGAGGAGTTTGGCTCAGGATCCCAGGCAAGAGAGGGCAAGGCCTGGGCAGGGGCTGTGGGATTAGAGGTGGGTGTCAAAAATCGCAGTTCCTGTTTCTGAGTGCCTTCTGTATTGTAGGCCCTGGGTCAAGCATTTCACAAGTTGCCTCATTTAATCCTTATGACCCCACTGTGTAGCAGGGACCTCTTGTTTGTTTATGTTTTTCAGATGGGGAAACTGAGGCTCAGAGAGGTGAGGTCACATGCCCAAGGCCCCACAGCTAGAGAGTGGCAGAGCCGGGACTCACCTCAAGGTCTGTTGGACTCTGCCACCTGGCTCTGTGCCTCTGCCACTGAGCAGCCTTGTGTGGCCTTGGACAGGCACTGCTCCTCCTAGTCCCCTTGTTCCCCAGCCCACGCTGATTGAGGGCATGGTCACACATTCATAGGAGTCAAGCATGTGAGCCCAGAGGTCTTATCTGGTCCTTAGAATGGAGGAGCCAGGCCTGAATACCATGGGAGGTCCTGGGGGCTGAGGCCAGGCAGGTTTCCCCGGGCCTTGAGCAGAGAGGGTGAGGTTCCCCTTGAGGCAGAAAGAGGAAGGTTTGGGGTTTGGGGTGGGAGGAGGAAGTGGGTGGTGCTGAGAAGTCATCTTGGGGAGCAGGGACCTGCCTTCTACTTTCTGCTCTGCTGTTCACACAGTCTGTGAAAGGTGAAGGGAGGCCGGAACATGACACTTCCCTTCCCAGGGCTTCAGTTTCCTCATCTGTCATATGGGTTGAATGTGACACACGGGGCTGATCCTGCTGATCCTCCTGAATCCCCAGAGGTAAAGCATTCGACACATGGGGCACATCGGAACTGTTGGAGGCTGCCGTTCTTGGGGCACCCAGTCGGCACTGTGTGTGTACTGTGCCAGCTAGTTTCTATTCTTTGTTCTTTTTTTTTTTTTTAAATTAAGATTTTACTGATATTCTTACAGAGAGGAAGGGATTGAGAGAGAGAGAGAGAGAGAGAGAAACATCAATTGGTTGTCTCCCACATGTGTCCTGGTCAGGGATTGAACCTGCAACCCGGGCATGTGCCCTGACCGGCAATCAAACCAGTGACCTGTTGGTACATGGGTCAGTGCTTAACCAGTGAGCCACACTAGCCAGGTTCTTTGCTTTTTTAATCCTCTTAACATCCCTTTACAGCAGGGATTGTCCCCTAGTTTAGGCAGGAACCTGAGCTCAAAGAGGTTGTGACTTGTCCCAGGTCACACAGTTAGTGCCTGGGTTCGAATTGGCTCCATTGACCTGAAGCTGCTCTCTGGGGCATGGGAGGTTCAGCAACCTCATAATGTGCTGCCACTGCCTGACATGCAACATTGAACAAATCACTATACTTCTCTTTGCCTCCATTTCCTCATCTGTATAGCGGGGGTGATAATAGGGCCTGCCTCACAGGGTTGTTTGTGGATTCAGAGGAGCCTAGCAGGTGGAGTGGTGCCTGGCAGATAGTGCTCTGTGCTATGGACTGCTGTTATTTATAGCTTATAGCTGGTCCTCGGGACAGCCTGTGCCATGTGTGAAGAAGAGGTTCTGTTAGTAGCCCCATTTCACAGGTGCAAATTCAGTAATCCCAAAGGGAGGCGATATGCCCAAGGTCACATTATAAGGATAACGTTAGTAGTCCCATGTCCTGTCCACTGCACAGGGCTGCCATCTCATTTGGGCGGATGAGGGCAGGGTTGTAAGTGATAGAAACGCAACTCAGACTGGCTTAAGCAGACAAGAAAGTGTAGCTGAATCTCCAGGTGCTCTGCGTATCATGTGATGAGCTCAGGAGTCTTTCCCTTTCTATCATTGGCCCTGTGTAGGGTTCATTTTCTCCCTTCCTGAGGGCAAAGTGGGCCCCAGCAGCCCTGGGCTTACAGCCCACCATCTTAGCAGCCTCTGTGGAAAGAGAGCACTTGGTTCCAGTAGAGCCAGCCCAGCTCCAGCCTTGAGTCTCCTGGGTCTGGTGCTTGCTTGGTAGGTGGGGGGCAGGGGATGTGGTTAGCTCCACATGAATCTCACTAGTTGAAGGTGGCAGAGGGGTGAGGCTGGTTGTCTAAGGCAAGTTGTTCATTCATGTATTCCTTCATAAATACAGAATGAGCAACTACTGTGCCACGGGGCTATAAAAGTGAACAAAGCACCTACTGTGTGCCATGGGGCTATAGAAGTAAACAAAACAGACCAAAAGCTGTCCTTCAGGGAGCTCACATTGTGGGGAGACAGGTGATAAGCATGACAGGAAGGGAAAGCATAGAGTAGGTGTAAAGGTGCTAGGCACCTTGGGAGAAATGGAGCAGGGTATGGGAAACTGGGAATGCCGGGGGCCAGGGTGGTGGTTGTGAAGTTCTAAATGGGATGGTTGTGGTAGCCTCATTGGGAAGGTGACATTTGAGCAAAGACCTGAAGGAAGTGAGGGAGCAAGTCCTGTGGGGACTGGGGACAGAGCATCCCCTGGTTAAGGAGAGGCAGGACTGGGTGGAACCTGCCTGAGGTAGGGGTGGAGGGGGAGCAGCAAGGCAAGGCTGGAAGTGGGGCACGTGAAAGGAAGGAGGGCGCCAGGTCAGGAGGTAACAGAGGCCAGACCAGAGGAGGGAAGCCGTGTGAGGGTGTCACTCATACTTGGGTGTGGTTACCAGAAGTGGGAAGGATGTGGGTCAGGTGCAGTGTAACCCACAGGGTAGTGGGAGGAGCCTGCAGGGGAGGCTCAAGGGAGGGAGGAGGGGTGGCAGACTCCTGTGCAGTGTGTTGGGTGTCAGCTCCTCGATGATGAGTCCCTCTTTCTCCTTAGACATCCGGCTCCGGGTGCGAGCAGAGTACTGCGAACATGGGCCAGCCTTGGAGCAGGGTGTGGCATCTCGGCGGCCCCAGGCGCTGGCACGGCAGCTAGATGTGTTCGGGCAGGCCACTGCAGTGCTGCGCTCCCGAGACCTAGGCTCCGTGGTGTGTGACATCAAGTTCTCTGAGCTCTCCTACCTGGACGCCTTCTGGGGGGACTACCTGAGTGGCGCCCTGTTGCAGGCCCTGCGGGGTGTATTCCTGACTGAAGCTCTGCGAGAGGCTGTGGGCCGGGAGGCTGTCCGCCTGCTGGTCAGTGTGGACGAGGCTGACTATGAGGCTGGCCGGCGCCGCCTGCTGCTGATGGAGGAGGAGGGGGGACGGCGCCCAACAGAGGCCTCCTGATCCTGGGTCTGGCAGGACTGACCCCACCTCCTAGCCTCCGGGCCACCTTCACCCCAGGAGGACGAAGATAGACGACCATCTCTGCCCCTAGGGGACTGTCACTCCAGCAGCTCTGAGGACTGAGACAGACAGATGGCCAGGCCCCCTGACAGCCTGCACCTTGACAGTTCCTCTGACAGGATGTGGGCTCTGAAGCCTAAACCACTTCCAGCTGAGTTTCCTTTCCAAACTACCCCCATCCCACCCTCAGGTGTGTTCCTTCAGCTCCAGGAGGCCAGGGGCTCAGGCATGCAGATCTCAAAGGGAAGGAGACATAGCCACACAGTCACCAAAGGCCCCCTGCACATTGTGTTCCCAACCCTGGGTGGTTTACACACACTGCCCCCATTGAAGTCTCCCCTGGGCTCCTGCCCTGGCCTGCTCCACACACTTCTTTGGCCTAAGGGCTTCTCTCTCAGGATCTCTGATATTATCGCCCCCAACCCTGGGCTTCAGCTGCACCAGGCACTGAAGTTGGGGCACACACGGGGCCTGCTCACCTTGCCCCAACATCTCTACAGCCAGCCAGGGCTCTTCCCACTTTTCACACACAGACCTGGCCCTTCACCTTTTCCTGCTCCCCAGAGCTGGATGTGGACTTGCACAAGGACCTACACCCAGAGTGTCTCACGTGTGTTACCAGCTGTATCAGACCAAGTGTGCTGCTGCCCATGGGGCCAGGACCAGAAGCCAACTGCCATCTCAGAAAGGGAAAGGCAAAGGCTTGTGGGCCGATGGGAAAAGTCTTTTACAAATTGCATCAATAAAACTGCCCTGGAAGGGGCATAGGTGGGCATCAAGGCTCCCTGGGACTCTTTCTTAATGGGCTGGAGGAAGGAGCTGTGCCTAGTACCAATCCTGGAGTTCCTGGCCCAGTATCAGGCTGATAGGTAAGCAGGATGCTAGATCATCTGCCAGTTGTTACCACAGGCTTGCTCTCCTCTCTGGGCCTCAGTTTCCTCATCTGTCAAAGGAAAATACTGCCTTGGAGTCACAAACCCTCCCAGCTCCATTTGCACTTGTTTTGCTCCTTGGGAGTGCCAATATTTTTCACTTGTTCGGTGAAATGGGCCAGCTATCTGCAAGACTGACAGCTCAGAGATGAGCAGTTATGCTTTGCCTAGAACCCCTCTTCAGGTGGTTCCCCACCTATCATACCTTCTGGACAGTCACCTTCTCAAATCTGGATCTCTGTTCTTTCTCTTCCTGAGGCCAAACACTTCTTCCTGCTGCCCTGTGGCTGTAGGAGGTTGTGGCCTCCTACTCTTGACCCATTCCTTGTTTATGGGCTTAGGAACTCAAGTTTCTTACACAGCACCCAGGGTTTTCCTTCCTGATGGGGAAGGGAACCAGGACTGGGAAGCTGGGGGCATGGTGGGCAGGGATTCCAATTTCTGGCCTTTTGTGGGGGAAGGGATGGACCTGCCCACACCTGGAGCCTGTCCTGAACCCTTGACCTGTATATGGGGGATAAAGTGGCAAGTTTAGGAGTTGAGTCCTGTCCAGGAGTCAAGACCTGGTCCAGCTAGTTGCTGTGTGACCCCAGACGGTCCCTGTACCCTTTCTGGGAGGGAGCTAAGGTCTATGGGGCACCTACTTAAGTTCTATTTGATACTTAGCCCCTTGTGTGAAGTAGGGATTTTACAGGAAATGGGCTGAGAGAGGGGAAGTGACTTGCCTGAGGGATAAAGCAGCTTGGGTGGGATGGAAAGCAGCTCTCCCCTAGAGGACCAAGTCAGGCTGGGGAGGGAGACCAGCTCCTGCGCTCTTTCTCCTCTTGAGCTGTGGGACTCTCCTTGGCCTGGGCAGAAGTAGGCTTTCTTTTCAGGACCTTCCCAGATTTAACTTGGGCTCTATTTTAATGGGAGCTTACTGTACTTAAGGGTGGGAGCTGCTGCCTGTTGGCTGGGCTAAATTCCAGGATCTGCCTCTTCCTCGGGCCATGGTGCCTGCCTCCACCCCTAGTGAATGATGGGTGCCACCAGCCCCCATGGTGGACAAATTCAGGCTTGGCCTCTGCTTTAGTTCCATGCTCCAAGCCCCACCGCCTGCCTGGGCCCGTCCCGCCCGCCGGCCCCCTCGCCCTTCAGGCTCCTTCCCCAGCGCCTCAGGCCGCGCGCTGGCGCCTGCAAGGCGGAAGGAGGGGTCCTAGCTTTGCGGGCCCCAGGAACGCGCAGGCGCAGTACGGGGCGCGTGCTGAGTGGCGGGAACCTCGAGGCAGTGTCTCGCCTCCAGAGCCTCCCTGTGCGCATGCGTCGTGGAGCCCGCCTGTGCTCTTGCCAGAGCCCGGCCTGGCGCTGGGGGTGACCCGACAGACCCCTGAGGCCCAGAAATGGGTCAGACCCAGGCCTTAAGGACAACCCGGGGAGATCAAAGCTTCAGAAGTCTAGAAAGACTTCTGGGGCAGGGCCTGAACAGGCTGCCGCCAAGGGAAACGGACCGTGGGAGCTCAGAGGAAGGCAGGCCATGGTTCCGCGGAGGAGTGGAGCCCGCAGCTGGCTCTTGGACGATGAGAAGTTCAGCAGAATGACAGAGGGGACATTCCAGGCAGAGAATCTCTCTTAAACCCTAGGGAACATTCCTAAATGGGATGTGAGACAGATGCAGTCAAAGGTAAGTGACAATGCAGCGTGAGCCACCCCCTCACTGCATCAGCAGTCACCTACTGCCACATGCTGGCAGACAGACATGGCCCTGATGATTACAACCTAAGGTGGAAACATGAGGCGGCCCGTTGTGCCTGGGGCATGGAAGCACAGGTCCCCCAAGGCTTCTGAGGGCCAGGCCCTGGGCTGATCTATGTTGGGGACCTTGAGAGGACTCTAGACTGGGCTCTGGCTTCTGTTCTTGTGGGTGAGCCAGAGTGGGACACTGAGTCACAGCCCAGAGTAGTCAGCGACTGAACAAGCAGCAGAGGCTGAAGGAGCCCGAGGACTCTGAGTGGAGGGACCCAGGAAGGCTTCATGGGTTGAGAAGCTCCCTGTTCACTCTATTAAACATTAACACCACCACCACCATCACCACCTAGATAGCTTTTAATTGTGAATATAACATTCAGAAAAGTGCATAAAACATAAATGAACAGTTAAGTTGTAAAACACCGGAGCCTCCCATGTTAATACATGACCAACACCCCAGAAAGTCCCCCACCCCGCCACCTTTCTGCCATGTGTTCCATCCTGATCACAACTCCCCTCTTTCCCTAGGCAGGAATACTATCCTGACTTTGACAGTAATAATTTCTTTTTTTAAAAAATAATTTAAAAAAATATTGATTTTAGACGGAGAGGAAGGGAGAGAGAGAGAAGCCAAGATTTGCTGCTCCACTTAATTATACATTCATTGGTTAATTCTTGTGTGCTCCCTGACTGGGATTGAACCCGGACCCTTGGTGTATCGAGACAATACTCTGGGCCTCGACAGTAATAGTTTATTGCTTTTCTTTAACTTTCTAGTTTTACAGCACTCAGTGATATAGTTAATTTAATCTCTTTTTGCACTTGACATAAATGGCATCATGAAATATATTTTCTATTGTGTTTGGTTTCTTTTGCTCAACGTTGTGTGCGTTTCTTCCATGTGTTTATCCATAGCTGACTCATTTTTATGAACACCCCTCAAGTAGTCCATGCGTTGCAGCGTTGACAGGCATTTGTGTTGTTTCCAGTTTAGGGATGTTATGAATAATACTGCTGTGAACTTTGTTCTGCATGTTTCTTGGTGAACATATGCTTACGTTTCTGTTTGGATATACCTAGAAGTAGAATTGCTGGACATGGGTACAAGTGTATTCAGGTTTGGTAGATACTGCCTGTGAGTTTCCTAGGGCTGCTGTAACAAATTACCACAAGCTTGGTGGCTTAACACAACAGAAATGTATTCTCTTATAATCCTGGAGGCCAGAAGTCTAAAATCAGTTTCACTGGGCCCAAATAAAGTTGTCAGCAGGCCCACACTCACTTCAGAGGCTCTAGGGAAGAATTTATTCCTTGTAGCTTCCTACTTCTAGTGGCTGCCAGCAATCCTAGGTTTGTGGCCACATCGCTCCAATCTCTGCCTCTATGGTTATATTGCCTCTTCTTCTGTCTGTGTCAGGTGTTCCTCTGCTCCCATATAAGGATATATGTGATTGCATTTAGGACCCACCTGAATAATCCAGGCTAATCTCACCTCAAAACCCTTACTTTAATCACACCTGCAAAGTCTTTTTGCCACATAGGATAGCTCACAGGTTCCAGGGGTTAAGCCATGGGCATTTTTCAGCCTACCGTACTCATAAGCTGTTCTGAAGTGTTTTTGCCAACGTACTCTCCCAGCAGTACTGAATGAGAGTTCCCTTTCTTCAGTCCTCACTTTGCCTTTGCCCAGCTGACAGATGCGCGGCTGTCACTGCAGCTTGTCTTCATCTTCCCTAATGATTAATTTCCGCTCACTCCTGGGTGAGGAACAGGCGGTCTTTGGGTGGGCAGGATTCTAGATAGGCGGAATAGCATGTATGAAAGTTTAAAGAAAACATTTATTTAAATGTGAAGAAGAGGTGTGTTTTAAGCATTAGGTTATTAAAAGTGAAGAGAATGCAGAGATATAGGTGCAATAAAGCCAATGGTAAATAAGATGGTCCAGTATGAGGCTCTGGCTAGGCAGGCAAGGGAGAGAAGCCAGGAGGGGTCTGGCCAACTGGCAGAAAACAGAGGTATCAAGGGGGCGGGAGCTCTCTGTGAGTTGAGGCATGATGCCATGATGGCAGCAAGGGCCTGCCAGGCTGGGATCAGGGTGTAGGATACTGGATTTCAAACACAGAAGATAGTACTGGGTTGTGATGAAAGCTAGGCCTTTTAAATTTGGAACCCAAAGAGTCCTTCCTGTGTTAGAATCCTGGCTCTGCCACTTGGCTAAATGTCACCCAGTACTTTTCTCCATCTTTCACCCTCAAGTCATTCAACGATCATTTACCAAGGTATACATCTATTTCAGCTACTGCAGGATGGGTCAGGCCCAATCCCTCCCTTGACAAGTTCTGTCATAGTATAGGATGTGATCCCTGGGGGCACCTCAAAGGGACTTATGAGGGGCTGTGGGAACTCAGCTGAGGCAGACCACGACTCTAATCTGGCTTCATAGAACCTGGCTTCCTTGAGCCTTATGTCCTCAGGTTCTATCACCCTCTGTCCCATTTCCTCACCGACATCTGTTGACTCCCTGGTCATTTCCCCTCATTTCTGGAGACTAGCACCTCCTCACAGACTTTCCACCCCAGCCCTGCCATCCTACTGGGATACTTAACTTCCCTGTGATGGTCTGATCTAGCCTCTCAGTCTCTTTCCACCTCATCTCTGCTAAACTTCATCCCACTCCAGCCACCCACTCCCATGACCACACCTTGGACTTAGTCATTACCTGGAAGTGCAACACACATAGCAAACATTCACCGAGCACTTATAGCAAATGCCAGGCACTGTGCCAAATGGGTTACAGGTGTTTACCCCTCACAAAACCTGCAAGGTAGGTATTAATATCCTCATTTTCAAGGTGATGATACACACTCAGGATGGTGAATTCACTTCCCTGGGTGAAACTTAGCAAAGGGGCAGAGCCAGGATTCTTAACACAAGACTCTTTGGGTCCCAGATTAAAAAGCCCTGGTTTTGCCCTGGCCGTGTAGCTCAGTTGGTTGGGGCATCATCCTGATATGCCAAGGTTGTGGGTTTGATCCCTGGTAAGGACACATACAAGAATCAACCAGTGAATGCATGAAATAGTGGAACAACAAACCGATGTTTCTCTCTTGCTCCATCT